CTCCTGTAAACTCACCTGGGGCAAGTAACAGGTGTGGGCAATATAGAAATCACACCTGAAAGCAGATAAAAAGGAGAGACGTTCACTTAACCTTTGCATTGTGTGTCTGTCTGTGCCACACTAAGCATGGACAACAGAAAGAGGAGACGAGAACTGTCTGAGGACCTGAGAACCAAAATTGTGGCAAAATATCAACAATCTCAAGGTTACAAGTCCATCTCCAGAGAACTAGATTTGCCTTTGTCCACAGTGCGCAACATTATCAAGAAGTTTGCAACCCATGGCACTGTAGCTAATCTCCCTGGTCGTGGACGGATGAGGAAAATTGATGAAAGATTGCAACGCAGAATAGTCCGGATGGTGGATAAGCAGCCCCAAACATGTTCCAAAGACATTCAAGCTGTCCTGCAGGCTCAGGGAGCATCAGTGTCAGCGCGAACTATCCGTCGACATTTAAATGAAATGAAACGCTATGGCAGGAGACCCAGGAGGACCCCACTGCTGACACAGAGACATAAAAAAGCAAGACTACAGTTTGCCAAAATGTACTTGAGTAAGCCAAAAGCCTTCTGGGAAAACGTCTTGTGGACAGATGAGACCAAGATAGAGCTTTTCGGTAAAGCACATCATTCTACTGTTTACCGAAAACGGAATGAGGCCTACAAAGAACAAAACACAGTACCTACGGTAAAATATGGTGGAGGTTCAATGATGTTTTGGGGTTGTTTTGCTGCCTCTGGCACTGGGTGCCTTGACTGTGTGCAAGGCATCATGAAATCTGAGGATTACCAAAGGATTTTGGGTCGCACTGTAGGGCCCAGTGTCAGAAAGCTGGGTTTGCGTCCAAGATCCTGGGTCTTCCAGCAGGACAATGACCCCAAACATACGTCAAAAAGCACTCAGAAATGGATGGCAAAGAAGCGCTGGAGAGTTCTGAAGTGGCCAGCAATGAGCCCAGATCTAAATCCCATTGAACACCTGTGGAGAGATCTTAAAATTGCTGTTGGGAAAAGGTGTCCTTCCAATAAGAGAGACCTGGAGCTGTTTGCAAAGGAAGAGTGGTCCAAAATTCCGGTGAGAGGTGTCAGAAGCTTATTGATGGTTATAGGAAGCGACTGATTTCAGTTATGTTTTCCAAAGGGTGTGCAACCAAATATTAAGTTAAGGGTGCCAATACTTTTGTCCAGCCCATTTTTGGGGTTTTGTGTGACATTATGTCATATTTGCTTTTCTGCCTCTGTTTTATATTTGTTCCAATACATACAAAGGGAATAAACATGTGTATAGCAAAACATGTGTTAATGCAATACCTTTTTTGTGTGAAATACTTGATTTTCAGGAAAAATATCAAGGGTGCCAACAATTTCGGCCATGTCTTTCCTAATTCGCTCCTTTACCTCCTGTTTAAGATGGGCACCCAAAGGGCCCTCAAAGCAGACAATCATGTTGGAACAGGAAGAGGGCCATCCCCCAATTGTTCCCACATGAAACTTAGCATGAAATTGTCCAAATGTTTTGACATGCTTACGCCTTATGCGTTCCCTTCACTGTAACTAAGGGGCCAAGCCCAACCCCTGAAAACCAATCCCCCTTCATAATCTGAAGGCCACATGAAGTTTGGAGGTCTTTAGCTATTGACTCTGAAGACAGTTAGCGACTTCTGCGCACTGTGCGCTTCAACATGCGCTGACCCCACTCTGTCATATTGCATGGCCTACCACTTGGTGAGTTGCTGTTGTTCCCAGCTGCTTCCACTTTGTTATAACACCACTAACAGTTGTCTGTGGAAATATTTAGTAGCAAGGAAATTTCACGGATTGACTTATTTCACTGGTGGCAACCTATCATGAAATCATCCTTGTATTCACTGAGCTCCTGAGAGCGACCCATTCTTTGACAAATGTTTGTAGAAGCAGTCTGCATTCCTAGGTGCTTGATTTTTTTTTACGTCTGTGGCCATAGGGGTGACTGGAAGACCTTTATCCAATGATTTGAAGGGGTGTCCCACACATATGCATCCATGAGTGACAAAGCATTCTGTGCTCACACAATGACTGATCTCTTAAAGGCCGCTCATGGTCTGTATTAATGATCGGGACCCAGCGGTACCGCGGGACCATTGTGATAGCCAATCACAGTGGTCATGCGATTAGTCGATCCTTCCTGCCCCCTGGGTGTACAGATCCTGTTTAAAGGTACGCCAGGGCTGAGCAGGAAGAGGTTAATGGCTAACAAATATACAAGGTCCATTACAACTAAACTGCTATTACTCTTTTTAATTTAACGGCCTAAAAATTGACATCCTGTAATAAAACATGGTCTGTAGCTTTAGTAGCTACTTGAGGTAGCTTTTAATTCACAACTAATTAAGTTTTAATATAATTAAGGGTATTTTAATATATCTCCTGAAATAGTCTTCCTAAAGTTTAGGATTAGGATTAATATTTACACAGTTGTGTCCAAAATTATTCAACCCCCACTGAAATTGAGTGTTTTTGGCCAGTTTGACATTGCTTTTGATCATTCAGTCATCTTGCTTACATTTACATTAAAGAGGCACTTGTAGGTCAGACAAATATAACATAACAGTTATAATGAAATAACCACAAATGTCTTTTCTGTGCTCACAGCATTATCAGTTTTATTCAACCCCCAAGTGACATTCAATCTTAGTACTTTAGTACAGCATCCTTTTACAGTTATAACAGCTTTTAAAACGTGAAGCATAGCTTGACACAAGTGTCTTGCAGCGATCTACGGGTATCTTCGCCCATTCTTCATGGGCAAAGGCCTCCAGTTCAGTCACATTCTTAGGCTTGCGCACTGCAACTGCTTTCTTTAAGTCCCACCAGAGGTTCTCAATCGGATTTAAGTCTGGTGACTGCGATGGCCACTCCAAAAATTGGTTCCAGCCTTTCCTCTGCAACCATGCTCTAGTGGACTTGAGGTATGCTTGGGATCATTGTCCTGTTGAAAGGTCCAACGTCTCCCAAGCCTCAGGTGTGTGACGGACTGCATCACGTTTCCATCCAATATCTCCTGGTACTGAAGAGAATTCATGGTACCTTGCACACGCTGAAGCTTCCCTGTACCTGCAGAAGCAAAACAGCCCCAAAGCATGATTGACCCTCCACCATGCTTCACAGTAGGCAAGGTGTTCTTTTCATCATAGGCCTTGTTCTTGCCTCCTCCAAACATAGCGTTGATCCATGGGCCCAAACAGTTTCTAATTTTTGTTTCATCAGTCCACAGAAACACTATCCCACAACTTTTGTGGTTTGTCCACATGGCTTTTGGCATACTGCAGTCGACTCTTCTTATTCTTTTGGAGACAGCAAGGGGGTACGCCTGGGAGTTCTGGCACGGAGGCCTTCATTACGCAGTGTGCGTCTTATTGTCTGGGCTGAAACTTCTGTACCCACATCTGACAAATCTTTTCTCAGTTCCTCAGCAGTCACACGGGGACTTCTCTCCACTCTACGCTTCAGGTAGCGCACAGCAGTCGAAGTCAGCATCTTCTTTCTGCCACGACCAGGTAGCGTTTTCAACAGTGCCCTTTGCCTTGAATTTGCGAATGATGCTTCCTAAGGTGTCTCTTGGTATGTTTAACATCTTTGCAATCTTCTTATAGCCATTGCCCTTCCTGTGAAGAGAAATCACCTCTTCTCTTTGTCTTCCTGGACCATTCTCTTGGCCATTCACCATGTTTGTAACCACACCAGTAAATGTCTAGAAGGAGCTGAGTATCACAGTCATTTTAAAGCTGCCTAATTGGTGCTTATTATGCTTGATTGCTGCTCGGTGACATCCACAGGTGTTTTCAATACCTGATGGAAAGCACCTGTATGAACCTCTGTTCTTCAGAGTGGTAGTCTTTAAGGGTTGAATAATTGTGTTGGCAATGAAGAAACCACATAAGAACCATTTACTACTGTATTACATAAACAATTGATGTCATTTTAGTTGCATTTGGGTAGTTACAACGTCCTTGTAGGATTTGATTCTGAATACAATTCCAAATGTACACTATAGTCCCTAAACCCTTTACAGCATTGGGGGTTGAATAATTTTGGACACAACTGTAAGTAAGAAAATGTTGTACTGTAGTTTACTCATAGTTGCTCATGTAATCTTGGTGTGTTTAGCAATTTCTTATTGCTGTTAAAGTGTTACTAAACCCAGGACCTTGCATTCACTATATCTGGTCTCTCACAGTACACACAACATGGAAATGCCATTATTTTAGTAAATATAAACTGCTAAATACCTTTTTCTCATCAGAGGTTAGAGCAGTCTTGTGACTTCTATCAGTGTTCAGCAAAGCACTGTTTAAAGCTTGTAGGAGTTTTCATTCTGCTCTAGGAGGATATAGAACCCCTGATCTCTGTCTGGACAGTGCTGATTGGCCCTGTACTTATCACATGCACTCTCCCAAGAAAAAAAAAAAAGCTCTCTAGCAATACACACCAAACTGAGCATGTGCAAAGTGTCTCCACACAATATCTCTTATCAGGAGATAAGAAGGGGACACTGGAAGAAGGGGCAGATCAGAGAAGTCAGGATCAAACAGCGTTTTTTTACACAATGCAGAAGATTTAATTCCTTTGATTCCACAGTGAGTATAACAAGCATGCTTCACTGCATATACAGACTGATTTTACTGTTGTGGGTTTAGTAGCACTTTAAGTTTAAAATGTACACATGCATATCATAAAAATAAGATTTTGAATACATTATTTTACGTATTAAATATACCTTTTTTAAATACAACCAGTTTTCAAACACTTCATTGGACCTACTATGCAGTTACAATGGAAATATTCAAAAATTTCACACTCTACAATGAACTCCATATGCTAGCATTTCTCAAATATCCCAAATGTCAAATATGTGTGATTTTTTATTGGTGTGTTATTTATTTATTTGTTTGGCATGCTCGGAAACATGTTTGCTTAACCCTGAGCTTATTCTGCATCAGTCTAGGTATCTTTAATGCCTTGATGTATGTGTTGTTGATATCTAAGTTATCATTCTATAGTTCAAGTGAAATTAACCATTTCTTTTGTCATATGAAGACAATACTCGACATCTCCTGTAGTGACAGCAGTGGCATTGCGGTTCTAATAAATGTTGATGGTATTGTTTTGGGGTTTTTTCCCTTAATACTTATTCTTACATCTTACATATACATTCTATCTACAGTTATGAAGATCAACACATCTTCAGGAAGACTAAAGGCTTTCTCCAAATGTTCTTCTCATCTCATTGTTGTTTTATTATTTTGTCTCACATCGCTCACTCTTAACATAAAACCAGAATCTAGGTTTTCGCAGGAACAGGACAAACTTCTCTCTATGCTGTACATTGGTGTTGTTCCAATGTTAAATCCCCTGGTATACAGTCTGAGAAACAAAGAAGTCTTAAAAGTCATTAAAAAATATTTCAAGACATTAACCAATGTATTTGTATTTTAAGGTTTACAGTATATGATATCTCTATTGGCAAATGTAGATAGTCATGTACAGCATATTAATGTATTTAATGCGTATATTTTCCTTGGCTTGTCTGTCTGTCTGTTCCTGGGGCACTGGCAATCTTTTTTTAAGAATTAATCTAGATGATATGCTAAATAAAGGGCAATAGGCTGGGAAGATTACTACAGGTAGGTTGGTGCCAGATTTGTTTACCTAAACCCCTGTTGCCCAACCTGCTGCCTAGGAGCCACATGTAGCTCTCTGGCAATTTCTGTGCAACCCATGGGGCCCCTGCAGTCACTAATCTGTGTTTTCTCATAGTCCTGTTATAGCAGAAATTTCTAGCACTCCGATGTAATGTGTTTTCAGTCTGTAACTGCCTCCTGAACCATAACATACTCCCATCATAGGTATCATTCTGCAGGTTTTAAACATCTTTTGTTTCCTGTCCACAGTCTCTGACCATCTTCTGTATTACGTCCAGAGGCTCTGACCATCTCTTGTATCATGCCCCTAGTCTTTGAGTATATCTTCTTCTGTGTCTGAGGTCTCTGACAGTGAATATTCACTGAATTTTATGTGCAACCCTTTGGTTATGTTGGGGGCTACACTTGAGGCCCCATATTAACCACTTGCTTCTCAAGCCTATTCTGGCACTTCCCTCCTACCTGTGAAATCATCATTTATTTTTGCTAGAAAGTTAATTATAACCCCAAAGCTTTATATATGGTTTTAAGGCAGAGGGCCTTGAGAATAAAATGGCAAGTGTTTTAATTTTTACGTCACGTGGTATTTGCGCATCAGTTAAATGCAATTTTTTTTGGAAAAAATACACTGTAACTAATTTATTGCACACAAACACAATATAATACCAATTTTTGGGTAAAATATACAATATGATGTTACACCAAGTAAATAGATACCTAAGGGGTAATGAATAAGCGTTGTCTTTAGCAGGAAACGCATTTACCTGCCAGTCCCCCCCGCTGTATTTCCACTGTCTGTATTGGTTTTATTTTGGTTCAATAAATTGAATTGTTTGGAGTGCAGCCAATCGGACTTCCTTTGTTCTCATCTATGCAGCACAGAAGCTGGGCTAGCATCTACAGGAGTTGTGCTTGGAGATTGGGAGTCTCTCTACCTTAAGCAGTGGTAAACATGTAAAATAGATATATATATAGAATATATAAATAGATACCTAACATGCCACACTTTAAAATTGCTTACGCCTGTGGAACAGCGCCAAACTACGGTACCTAAAAATCTCTATAGGTGATGCTTTAAATGTCTTTACAGGTTACTGTAATGGAACTGACCCAGACTGCGCTTGAGTACTTCCGTTAGAATACTGCTTCCCCATCCGAACACGGACAACAGACACCACAGCCGACCATACAAGACTAGACGACACCAGTCTGTCTGAACATGGAACTCTTTATTTTAAACTCAAACGAGCTTTTTATACAATACACACTGAGACTGATCACATGATCATATGCAAAAGCAGCTATATACAGAAATAGACTTAACACTCTAAACAGTAAGTTAATTAGGTTAGCTAGCTGGGTGACAGAAACAAAAGGTGAATGGGAATTCACACCTAGACAATGGTTTGATGAATTTAGGATCTCACTATAGAGCAGACGGTCCAGCTCCTTCAATACACACGTCTAGTTCAGAATCAACAACCAGGAATAGTCTTCATATGGCTGATAATATTACTGCCGCATCTGAAGTAATTCCATCCTCATTCTCAGTGCCCATTAGTCACCCTGTGCCCCTAAGAGACACAGGGTGACTTGCACATAAGAGGGATATGGGGAGCTGAGATAGGGGTCTCCCAACCTCTGCAAAATAAGCTGGGTTCCATGAGCCCTCCACCCAAAGTGACTCCTGTCACAGTTACCACAGGAGGTCTGGGGATAGAATTATTGCTCTCACTGACCTTCACCATGATACCTCACATGCACAGTGCAATCACCATTTATGTATGCGTGCAGGACCGGCATATCCATTCTGCTATGTGCACAAGCATGGGAGGATGGGGTGCTTTAAAAAACTAAAATAAAAATTTTACACTGTCTCTTTACATTTTTTAATCACTTTTATTGCTGTCACAAGGAATGTAAACATCCCTTGTGACAACAATCAGCAATGAAAGGTCTTCTTTACAGAGACATCTGGGGTCTATCAGACCCCAGTTGTCTCCTCTGCCCATAACATCATCCCAGTAGAACCACTTTGACTTGAGGACGTACGGGTGCGTTGTCCTATGGGGAAGGAAGGGTTTTAAAAAATTGACCGTCATTGATCTAAACCAGTGGTCGGCAAGCCGTGGCTCGCGAGCCACATGCGGCTCTTTACACGCTTTAATGCGGCTCTTGTGTGCCGGGCGCCAGCTCCCCTCCCTCCTCTCGGGCGGCAGGGACTCTGCAGCGTGATCCAAAAAAAAAACAGCCAGGGCAGCGCGCTCAAATGCAATGATTGGCCAGTCTCGCTGCCACTCACATCCTGATAGCCAGTGATTGGCTGTCAGGATGTGTGTAGGCGGGGCAGCGTGACGAACGTGGGAGGAGCTAGGCTCCCCTCACAGTCCGCCCTGAAGACCGGAACGGCGCGGGAACACGGCGAGAGGAACGCGCGGAGCAAAGGTAAGTGAATTGACACAGGGGGGACTTGGCTTACTACTTGCTACTTACTTACTACTACTATATGAGGGATGAATTAATATGGGGGATGAATTACTATAGGGGGGATGAATTACTATATGGGGGATGAATTACTATGGGGGATGAATTACTATATGGGGGATTAATTACAATATGGGGGATGAATTACTATGGGGGATGAATTACTATAGGGGGGATGAATTACTATATGGGGGATGAATTACTATATGGGGGATGAATTACTATGGGGGATGAATTACTATATGGGGGATGAATTACTATAAAAACTTATTGAAACTAAAAACAGTGTACCATCCTATGTATTTTCAGTTTTAAAAATGTGGCTCTCAAAATAAATTTCAATCATGGTTTTGCCGAGATTTGGCTCAGTTGAAAAAAAAGGTTGCCCACCACTGATCTAAACTATAGGAGCAAACTTTCTTTTGTCTCTAGACACCATATTCAAAGCTTTCTCTTGTAGAGATAAACAATAAAGATGGCTGACTTAACAAAAGGATATCTGAAAGTATCCAATCCTTAAAGGACTAGTCTAATTTAATTAGATTAGAGATAGCTGCTCAGTAATCAGTGCCAGCAGGGAGCAGCCAAATGTTGATCATTTGATTAACTTCTGTCAAAGAGACATGTTGTAAAATGTTCCTCAATCAGTGACTGCAGCCAAACAGCTGCAGCCTCTGATCAGTGTAGTTTGGCAGTATCGGTATCAGAGTACAATATACTGAACTAGCAAGGCCTCATTAGTGTGGATGGAGGCATCTGTTCTTTTTAGACTACAGACTGATTGAGAGAAAACCTAACCAGCTTAATGCAGGCCATAGATGGGGAGAAAACCGGATGATTTTTCTTTAAAAAAACGAAAAATCAGTTGTTCAAGCGGCCGACGTTACCAGGAACGGTAAAAAAAATCAGCCGATTTTCATCCCTTCTACAGCCGGCAAAAAGTGTCCCTGCAGAGAGCTCCGCTATTTCTTTGACAGTTCTCTTTGACATTTATAGCGGTTGCAACAATGTATCTATTTGTGTCCATTTAGGATACAGATGTTTTTATTCGGAAACAAATAGATACATTGTTGCAACCGCTATAAATGTCAAGGAACTGTCAAAGAAATAGCGGAGCTCTCTGCAGGGACACTTTTTGCTGGACTGGAATTCCTCTTCTTCTTCATCCTCTTCTTCTTCCCTCTCTTCTTCTTCTTCTTCATCCTCTTCTTCATCTTCTTCATCCTCTTCTTCCTCTTCTTCATCTTCCTCTTCTTCTTCATCCTCTTCTTCTTCTTCGTCTTCTTCTTCTTCTTCCTCTTCTTCTTCTTCTTCATCCTCTTCTTCTTCTTCTTCATCCTCTTCTTCTTCCTCTTCTTCTTCATCCTCTTCTTCTTCTTCATCCTCTTCTTCATCTTCTTCTTCTTCATCCTCTTTTCTTCTTCTTCCTCTTCTTCTACTTCTTCCTCTTCATCCTCTTCTTCTTCTTCTTCTTCTTCCTCTTCTTCATCCTCTTCTTCTTCTTCTTCATCCTCTTCTTCATCTTCTACTTCTTCCTCTTCTTCATCCTCTTCTTCTTCTTCCTCTTCTTCTACTTTTTCCTCTTCTTCTTCTTCTTCATCCTCTTCTTCTTCTTCCTCTTCTTCATCCTTTTCTTCCTCTTCTTCCTCTTCTTCATCCTCTTCTTCTTCCTCTTCTTCATCCTCTTCTTCTTCTTCCTCTTCTTCATCCTCTTCTTCTTCTTCTCTCTTCTTCATCCTCTTCTTCTTCTTCTTCATCCTCTTCTTCATCCTCTTCTGCTTCATCCTCTTCTTCATCCTCTTCTGCTTCATCCTCTTTTTCTTCCTCTTCTTCTTCTTCATCCTCTTCTTCTTCATCTTCTTCTTCATCCTCTTCTTCTTCCTCCTCTTCTTCTACTTCTTCCTCTTCTTCTTCATCCTCCTCTTCTTCCTCTTCTTCTTCCTCTTCCTCTTCTGCTTCTTCTTCTTCATCCTCTTCTTCTTCTTCATCATCCTCTTCTTCTTCTTTCTTCTTCTTTTTGTCTTCCTCTTGCAGGTCACTGCTCATGCGCAGATTTTTTTTTATCGGTAAAAAGAATGGCCGATCTTTTTCCAACTTTACCGATAAAAAAATCTGCCAAAATACCGAAAAAAAAAAAAACGGCCGACCTATTAACCCACTAACGATCCGAAAATCGGCCGATTTTATTTTCGGACGAAAAATCGCCCGATTTTCGACCCATCTATGGCCTGTATAAGTCTTTAGAAGCTAGCTCTGTATAAATCCAGACACTTGTGGGGAAGAAGAGGCTGTTGGATCATTATAAAGAGG